GTACTTACTTTTCGTCAGTAGTTTGTGTGTGTGAAAGCTTTTAGGTACCAAACCTAGATTTCACTCTGAGAGAATATAACGCTGCTCATCCTTCAGCCACCCAGTTCACATCGCTTTACTCGCTGTCGATTAGCCGATAACTACTCAGTCAAACATCCCTCTTCCTGAGCAAATTATTTATGTACTTTTCGGTGTTGATGTGACTTAGAAACTTCATTTTTAGATTTTGTTGTTTTTGCGTTCATCATCATTATCATCGACAGCATGACATCAGTGTTCAACACCGATGCTTCACTTCCCTACAACCGTGATTTAGTTGAAAGCCTTATTGTAAAGAAAAGAGTAAAGGTGGACGGGGGAGGGACTTAGTGCTAGCTTACCACAATCATTCCGAGGTGCCTACACCTCCAGCCATTCACTCAGGTAATCTGGATGGAAAATGACAACAAGAACGCCACTGACATCGATTGGCATTCATTCATTCATTGCATTCATTCTTCTTCATTCTTGTCGGTAACGATCAGCAACGTGCATCACATGAAATTCGTGGGGTTAGAACCTGTATCATTCGGTCTGTAATAAGTTTAGTTAATTTTCACCTCACAAGCAATTTAATGTGAAAAGCACTTCGCATTAGCCAGTGGACAGTAACATTTTGATCATGCTACCAATGATACCAGAATCCATCCCCAACGATATCTCCCAATTCCGACGCCCTCCACAAATGCCCTTAGTGACGGCCGACCGTGCGCGCATTTCCTTATAAAATGATTGCTTCAACGCGCAATGCTGCTGAGAGAGAGCCCTAAGGATGACTTATGTTACACCGATTGTTTGTACATCCCCTCGAATCTTGCTTAAACCTCCATTTCCGACCGGTTCTTCAAATTTTCTCTCACCTAGAGTTAGCAGCGGGGCACTATGAACACTGTTAATGGTTAAAAGAAGTTCCTGTTGATAAGCCGGACTTTTGGAACTCGGTTTACTCTTGGAGTTTGACGGCTGGCATTGGATTTTCTGCCTGTGGGTTAAATTGATAGCGCTGATCAGTCTCGCAACGCTTTGTCCCATTTTAATTGACGCTGCTCACTTCATACACCGCCGGTTTATATCTTTGCGTGAACTCATCGGACTAGTAACGCTTCAGTCCAAACCTCATTTCGTCAGAAAATCTCTGTGAGCTCCATGCTGCGGAACCGAAAGGCTCTGAGGCTCTCCCTCGGTATCTGACTAACGTTTTCTCGTTACTGACAAAATATCAGTAGTGTACTTTATATGACAAAATTGATTTTCCAGTCTAAGTCGCGCACTGGTTTACTCTCGGTGTTTTCTACTCACCCAGCCCACAGATCCAAACTTACCTCACTGTCGTCTAATATTCGCCGGGTGGCGTGGAGTGAAGAGTCTGCGGCACTACATTGGTCGTCATGAGCGCCTGCATCTAATGCGTCTGGCCAACCTTGAGCCCAAGCCTGCAATCATGGGCCACACACCCCAAGTGGCTAATGGTGGAGATGGCCCTATCGCAGAGGAAATTACTGTCGGATCGTCAGAAGCTGAACCCGTATGACCGACAAATGGATGACTCGATTTTGCTATGTATTTTACTCCGCTATACTTTGTGCTTTCAAATCCCACAGAATTGCACTTCCACGAGGCGGATTGCTCATATGTACATAGTAAATTCCGGAAAACTTTGCCTTTTGTTCTATTATATGGATTATCGCTCATAAGAATCGGGACGAGGATATTCCTAACTCTCCGAAACGCGGGAAACCAGCAAGTGCACTAGGCTGTTTGAGTGGTACGCAGCAGGATCGTGCTTAGTGTACAAGCGATTATTGACCTGAAATGCGACAAGGCTAAACAGTTGACAGAAGTCATATCAGGGAGAGTTTTCCACTTTCTTCCCTAGTCTCCATGATTTCACCACGTTGAGAATGTTGCTGGCTAGTTCAGCTGGGGCTCAACTGGTGACCTCTCCTCTGGCCTCAGTAGAATCACTTGGACTCTGATGTGGTGCGGAACACTTCGCTTTGAATGCTTAGTCAGGCGGTCGCGATACACGGAAATGATGAGATTTTTTATCTTAACCAGTTATCAACGCTGACGAAGATCTGTTAGTATCCACTTCATGAGCTACCAGCTTAACGGGTATCAGTTGGCGAAAGATGTGAGTGATCTTCAGAGGGCCCTTGAGAAGCTTTGCGCTTCACTTTGACTCGCCTCCTCTCTACAACAGGATTCCCTTATTAATACTTATAAAAAGTGCTTCATACATGAGGAACTGAAGTGCTCTGATCAGTGGGCATCGTCTCATTGATAGTCAGCACGTTCTTGGATTTAGAGATGTTCTAAGCTAACCAGTGTTCATGATATCTGTCCATTAACCGGACACCTGACGGCGCGGTCAAATGATACTTCCCGGTTGCCCAGGGCGAAGAATAGGGTTTAGTCGAGGTACCTCGAACCTTTGACTCAAAAGGCAGTGGAAGGACGTGGGGCTTTTTTCGGGGATCCTGTCACTAGCTTCTGACTCCAGAGTCTGACCCGAGAGCATTGGGTTTTTTTATGAGGGCCCTGCCGGAGTCAACGACTTAATAGCCTAATAAGCTTGGCGGTACGGGCTTGCTTAACCCGAAGGCGCAGGGCATAAGGCATTACTGTCTGACTCCTAATGCGGCTGCACATAACTGGTGCTTTTGAACATCAGCGGCCTTTGTGGTTTTAAAAGTAGTTCGACCGTATTGAATAATGCGCAGCGGTCACGGCCAACCGTTGGGGGATCCGACTGTGCTTTCTTCTAACCTTTTCAAACCCGTCCATTCTCAGAGGAAGACAACGTAACTGCTTCCATGAATAAGGACATGCTGGTCGCCTGGGGAAACGTCTTACTGCCCTCACATTCCCAACGCCAAGGCAAGGCTGTTCTCTTTCACCTGTCCTCTTTAACTTCGTCATCGATACGATTACGGAAGTCTCACCATCAGCCTCCAATGCTTGTCGGGTCGACGTGCTCCCGTGGCGTCCACTTCCCAGATGCTCTCGGACTTCACTTTTTCCACCAGTTTGGTCAGGAACTGGGTTCATACCAGATGGAATCCGGGAATTCATTTGGTGTCCCAGTTCCCACTGTCGAAACGGATCGACCAAGTCAATCTCTGTCCAAACGCACCGTACATTCTCGTTCGAGTGATAAACGGTGCGTATCACGAAAATCTACGGACGGATCACAACCTTGGCGGTCTGTGAACGCCACCGTTCAGACACAATGGGCTAATTGTCACTGCGACGACCTCACATTCATGCGGGAAGTGGCGCAAATTTTCCCCAGCAAAGGTGGTAAAAAACCAACCGTTGGGTTTAGTGCCCTTTCGGTGCAACCTCGATGAGGCACGATGGCTGGAATTCTGCCGGGTTGCACAAGCATAGACAGGAGTAGTTGAGATGCCGAGGTCAAGTCCGAACCACAGACCTCTTGGTCATCGCCTTGACCACAGATAACAAGGATGGTAGTCAAAAGCAGTCAATATTTAAGAAATTAGCTACCTCAGTGGAACCCGGTTTGTGTTGAAAAGTGTGACAACCGACTACAGGCTTCGCCAGTCTTGGGGCTCATCTGGTAGCCTTCAAGTCTCCACCAAGCTTACGGTTTTTTGAACACCAAATTGCACACCATTGAAGAAATAAACTCCATTGATGTTAACTGGCTGAATCCCGTTTATGCTGTCCTCCTAAACGTACTGCACACAGGCGGCCTCAAGAAGGGTAGAATATTTTTAGTAGTCACATGAGTAGTGTGTTTCACCGGGAAAATATACGATGTTGTCTATTATAGCGCGCCCAAAGGGTACGTGGAACTCACCCGTACTACTTAAATTTTACTGGCAAATGGAACGTGTAGTCTTGGCGTCGAAAGAGCATCAAATCAGGGGAACAACGAGAGAATCCACGATGCGATAACAGTATGTGCGAAAGAACTCACCCGTACTACTTAAATTTTACTGGCAAATGGAACGTGTAGTCTTGGCATCGAAAGAGCATCAAATCAGGGGAACAACAAGAGAATCCACGATGTGATAACAGTGATGTGCGAAACTGGGACATTTCTCTTGCTTCAGTTTAGCACCAGCACAATTGAACTGTTGTCGATTAGTCACCGATTGGGACAAGTGATTCCTTGCCGTATAGCCTCATTAGACTGCATGAATTAAAAACTGCCCGGATGTGTTCATTATCGTCAATTCGAAAAAGGATGTGGGAAAGCATAGTTTAATAGTGCAAAGCCGCGTACGAAAAGTGTCGTTATCCGGACGAATTCGATTGATCCACCCTCTGAGGTATCTTGCTTTAGTTTGACCTAACCCTGTTCTTTGGAGAATGATGAATCAATTTTCCACGATTGTTTGAAGATCATGTCTCCACTCGTGAAGTTTGGGTATTATCCTGAATTTGGCGTTGCTCGGTAATCTGACATAACCGTTCTAAACCGCCGTTTGTAGCACTATTCTGCAAAATCTATTGCAAAGGGCAGACAGGATCATTTCAGCGCCATCTGACGCAAGTCGCACACCGCTCTGCGCAAGCTCATTTTTGGTGCATTTTCCAATCTTCAGATAAGGTGTGATAATTATTAAATAGTCTCTCGTGAATAGCCTTGTTTTACGACATGCACTGTGAGTATCCATACGTTTCTGTGTCTTTTGTCAACTGTTTTCGGTGGCAGCTGAGTTAGAATGCTGGACTAGCGAAATCTCATCAGATACGTTTTGTCGATCCGACAAAAATAGCATAGCAGTTCAACAGTCTGGACGCAAAGTTCATTCAGCGCCCTTTGTACCAGTCCGATCAAGCTGATGTTCAGTGTTGAAGACGAAACTGTTCGTATCGCTCCGTAGTACAGGCCCTCGAAAAATCCAGGTTGCAACATTTTGGGATTGGTTTCCAATCATTTTTTGTGTAGACCACTTACATTTTCCAAGTCATATGAAGGCTTCAGTAGAAAGTTCATGAAGTAAGAGATAAAAATTCTGTTCTGAGTGGCATCTCTGTTTTTTAAACAATTTACGAAGCGAAACAAGGTTTGAGTTTTGAACATTGCGTGGAAATAAATAGACCTACCAGAGGTCATAACCGACTCTGATTTTCTCCATTCAAGACGAAGCATCCATCCACTGTCTCCCCGATTTAGCCACAGAATGACTCAAGCTTTCTTGGTGGAATCCTTCGAAAACGTTCGATGGCCCACTAAATTTAAGTCACGGCACATTTCGTTCTTTCTTCCCGGTCTGCTCTGGAAATTTTGAAGGTTATCAGCACACTTCACCTTCGTTTTTGCGGACTTAGAACTGAATTTTCATGTTCTGATTACAGAGGATTAACATATCACGAGACTTCCCAAATAACATTCGAAAATTGTCGACGACCCTTGATAAATAGGTGTTCTGTCAACCAACAAAAGGTCACTTCAACTGAAATTTTCTTCAGATGTTCCAAACAACCAAAATACCATCGTATCCCCTTTCCAAATATGGCCATTTTACAGGAACATCTTTTCGGTACCACGTGAACATGTACAACAATTTTATCGGAGTTCATCTTTCAAACTGTAAAATCAATAGTTGTGGACGTGCTTCCCCTCCGAAAACCAAAGGCGTGCA